TGCACATGTGATGAGGAAAGTCATTTACACGAGACTCAAGGAGAACAAAGGTGTTCAGCACCAAGAACAAGCCCTCCTCCTCCTCCTGACTCCCAATGGGCCCTGTAAGATGCGACCGTTAAGCTCCGTTCCTTCCAGAAGAATCCCTGCACGTACAGGTGTAGAATTCCCTGTGGCTCCTTCTCCCCTCCACCTTCTAGTGTATCTGGGGACTGATTTCTTACCTGTGCATAGAGATGCAGCTCTGTAGTGACACAGTTCATCGTAAGGATGGGTTAGATTTCAGCTGACACCGGGAGACAGGATTTGGGGTACTGGACTGTTAGTCCAGGGATTGTCCTACCATGACCCCTTCTCACCTGGTTCTGGGTGGGTGTCCTCCCTCACCGACCCACCCTTCCCCGGTTCCAGTGGTCAACTCCGCAAGGCATCCAGACATTTGCCAACCCTCTTTGGTTATTTCTCTGTTTTGGGTTTGTTTTGTTTTGTTTTTAGAAGCTAAAGCTCTTAAAGATAGTCTTTGCCTAAGTCATCCGTAGATTCTTGGGGGAATCAGCAGAATCCAGGCAAGACCCATAGTCACCGTGTAGCCCTTGGTGTAGGGTTCACTTTTATAGCAGCCACAATCAAAAAAGAGTAGAAGGTGAGGACGTGGGCGGCAGCTCAGCAGGAGAGGCCCAGAACTAAAAAAATCAAAGACGAGGGAAATCCATTTTTTTTTTTCACACAAAATTCTGCTTAGCCCCGTGTGTCCCGAGCAGTGTGTCATTTCAGCCTGGGATCAAGACCTGAAAACTTTTCCCACTCTTTTCCTCACACTGATCTTTGAAAGCCGAGCCCTTACAGGGCCTCTCAACCACCGTCGGGCTGCCCCCGTCCCAGCAGAGGGGCTCCATGGTCTCCTGGGGCCAGTGGCCGCCATATTGGACCTCGTGGCTCTGGGCCACGGAGGTGCAGCGGGTCCACGTGGAGGGAGCCCCTGGGTCCTCCAGGCCTCCGTTCCTCGTGTTGGACCGAGGGAGCCGGTCCAGGGGATCTCAACGGCTTCCCTTCGTCCTAATCTTCATCCGGCTTTCGGTGCTAGAAATGGAAAGTCATGACAAACCAGGACGAGTGGGTGTCCCAGAGCAGCTTAATCTCCTCATCTGTGAAACGAGGAGCCACCGAGTGTGACCCTGATCGGGGTGAGGATGAAAAACGGAGCAGCAGATGCGGAAGCACTTTGGGGAGGCGAGGGAGGGAGGGAGGGAGGGAGGAGGGAGGGGGCCAGTGCCATGGATTGCCATCAGGATGACGGTTGACAATGGGGAGGAACCCTCAGCATCTACTCCTGGAGACCTGGGCTACCAGTTTCCTCAGTGTACATCGCTGAACCTCAGGCTTCCATCAGACACCCCTGGCCCCAAGTTCAGCCCACAGTAAACTCAACAGCACTCAAAAATGCTGCTAGTTCCCCAGTTACAGAAAGGAGGCCCAGAGTGGGCGATGGCATGCCCAGGGTCACACAGCAAGGAGGTCTCATCAGACGCTGGCCTGTTTGGGTCCTGCCTTTCCACTGACACTTACCCCCCCCCCCGCCCCTCCACAGCCACTCATTTCCTCGCAGGAAGGTAAGTGAAATAAATATACCCGGATCCGCTGAAGTACTCGAATGAGGCTCGGGGCCAAGGATTGTTTCCATGGTAGATACTCTGGCGTGCGCGTGGGGTTTGTTGAAAATCCCAGCTCCAGAAGCGGAGGCCGGGTTGGCAGGCTGTTCCAGCCAGCTTTGTCACCTGTGGTCGGTGAGCGCCCCCAAGGTGAGACCAAGGTGAGATTCCTTTGTGTGACTTCCAGGGAAAGACCCCCCTGCAGACCACAGTGGGGCAGTAAGTGACCGGAATGAAACCCAGCAAGCCCAGGTCACCTCATCTCTCCTAACAATCACAGGAAACCGCTTCTCTCAGTGTCGACTCTGTGACGTCCCCACGTTTCCTGCGTTGGGGGCTTTCCTTGAATCCTCCCAGTTCCCCAGATAAACTGCTGATGGCCCCATTTTACAGATAAGCAAATTGATGGGGGGGGGAGCAGATAGAGAACTCACCCAGAGACAGAGACAGCCAGGAAGGACCTGGCAAAGCCTCCTGGTGGCTGGACGGAGGCCCGAGAAGGCTCCCGGGTCCCAGGCATCTGCCAACCGGGACCAGGGGGGTGACCTGGAGCAGCTTGGTGGATGGATCTGGATGATGGGCACCGCCGACCCTGACCGTGGTCAGGAGGAGATCGAAACATGAAGAAGAGACACGGAGTATTGTGGAATTGTCACTAAGAAATGGGGAGCGCTCAGAACTCATAGGTCAGATTGTGGGGTGTGCATGTGTACGTGGTGTGTGTGTGCGTGTGTGTGTGTGTGCGTGTGCGTGTGTGTGCGTGTGCATGTGTGTACGTGTGTGTATGTGTGTGTGCGTGTGCGTGTGCGTGTGTGCGTGTGTGTGTACGTGTGTGTGCGTGTGCGTGTGTGTGGTGCACATGGGCAGACACTGAATATCCCCGACTCTCCGACTCCAGCATCTTCCCCAGTTTCCCAGAGG